ATGTCTTCGTTAAGTATTATATAAATAGTTGTAGATATGTAATAAGAGAGAGAGATAAGAATAAACGGGGTACTAGCTCCCACTTGAGCAGAGCACTGCGACCATGATTGATCTTTTGTCGTAATATAAACAATTACGGTTTGATATTATTATATTACTCAACTAATATGTGCACTTTCTTCACCTAATACCAAGGATCACAATAATTGTATTTGCTACGCAACCCTAAAAAAGCAACTTAAACAGTTTACCTACCAATCATATCTTAGCGCAATGAAATACTCGTAAAAATTAAAATCAAGTGGAATGCAATTTAGAGAAAAAAAAAAAAAAAAAACGCTGTATAAAGAAATGAAAGATACAAAATCAATTTATCAGGTTTGCAAGTGCTTTTTCGCGTGGGAGTTGGTGACAAGATTACTTTATTGAATGCCTGTAAGCTTCGCTTTTATTATAATAAATAATCGTATAAAAGATATTTTTATAATGAAAACAAAAAGTATGTACCATGTCAATGGACTTTACTTACTTTTCATAAGCTCTTTCGCGGACCTGAATTGGAAAGGAACAATCAAAGGCGCTGCAATGTTTTGAACAATAAATTTCTATTAACTTTTTTTATTAGGAATATTTTTTTACCAATTTAACACAACTTAATAATTACTTAATAAATACAGAAAGCAGTACATTGGCCATATTAGTGAGATCACTTTTTCTGTTAACAAAATATATTCCGTAAATAGTATTTGCGATAACATAACAACTAGACTTTTCCTTTTAGACGACAGTTAAACTCCAATTTGAAGCAACATTTTCTTGAACGTCGATTTTATTAATTAATAAAAAATATTTTCACAGTCGTTCATAACTGAAATTTTAATTGATCATAAAAAGTTGCCTGCCAAGTCGGCTTACTAAATAAAAGTTGATTGATAAAAAAAGCGCAACTGTTCAATATTTTGTATTTCTCTATTAATTATTCAGATGTTGTCAATTTTTTATATAAACAAAATGAATGTGAGAAACGATTTTTTTAAACGTTAACAGATGTTAAATCATCATTCATATAATGTAGTCATTTTTATATATATTTGACGAAAGATATAATGTTGATAGATTATCTAGTAGTGCTGGAAGACGCACTACTATTAATTTTATATAAACTATTTATTTAATATAAATTTTTTACCTATCTACATGTATTGTATATAAGAAGTGATTCTTCGGGTCAAGAAAAAACAAAATCGTTTTCAAGGAAATATTCCATTTTAAGTACTTTTGGAGCGGAAAATCGCTGTGTCTCTTTGAAAAAACAAGCAACGTTGTTAAACATACTATAAAAAGATAAACATTTATATAGGTTGGAATTTATAGAATTATTTGGCAAGTGTATGACAGTTCCAAAACAGATGAGCAACATAATTCTATTGCTCAACATTGGCACCTTTGGAAATACCTTATAAAGAACTCAGGTAGCCCTTAATAAAGTTATTACTTTACTAACAATGGCTTTAAATAGTATCGGTAGAGACAAAATCGAATGGAATGGAAGATAGAACCGAAAGCAAACGCGACATGGGAAAAAAACATATGTCTTGGTTGAGGAACATCCGACACTGGACTGGGTTAAGAATGATTGGAGACTTGGTACATACTGCTAGAGAAAGAGAGAACTTCAAAAACATTTCTAACATATTATAATTTATATGATTGTGTAACATTCAATTTTTAAATAAACAATTAAAGAAGAAGTTAGAGACCCGGATACTCCTGCTCCTGTACCTAACTACTCCTGCTCTAGACCCACAACTTTGTGAGCAATTGTGGAAAATAGCATCTATCTGGACAGCTAGCCTACTTTTAAAATAAAATTTGTAGCCTTAGTTATTAAATAACGTAACATCTTTAATATTACTAATTATTTTAAATATGTTAATGTATCTTAAAAGTTACTTAAATTCAAATTCACTAAGAGTCACACATAGCATTTTATAAAATTACTTTAATTAATTTTCCATATTCATTATTTTTTCTTTCGAGATTCCGTATTATAAGTTCATTCAATATAATAACATAATTAGTTTAATAATAGACAACAAAAAAATCCATTTGTTATTATTATTATTTTTAAACCAGAATTCAAAATAAAATCAATAGTCCAAGTCTTACTTCATTTATATATTATTTATGAAAACATTCAATTGTTATGTTAATTGTAAATGAAAGACAATATAATAATATTAATAATTATTGAAGAAAGCAGTGTTTTTACATCATTTATCACTTAAAGTATACTTTTTTTTATGACAGTTTATAAATTTACATATTTTAATTAGTTAATTTCTATGGTTTCTTCACTTACATCACATTTTAAGTGTGAACGTAGACATTATAATGGGATAATAGATACATATCTGAGCACAATCATAGCATTTTGAATAATAACTGTTTGTTACAAAATAGGTGAAATAGTAAGATACTTTGTGTAAGTACGACTATAAGACCAACACATAAATTAATTTTGATATATGAAAATTATCTGAGAAAAAAGAGGTTCACATTCGGACAACAAACATTTTCGTAGGCCTTTTTCCGCCAAAAATGCAAATTAAATATAATTTATTGTATTATTGTTAAATTAATTGGCACTTGTTAAAATGGAATCATATAAAAAAACAAAGAAAAACAAGTTAATTTAAAAAAAGCACGAATATAAAAAAGTCAAAACTATAGGTTTATTTTTTGAAAACATTGAAGTAATGATAGACATTTAAAAAAAAAATATTTAAATATATTTGAATAAATTTCGTTTAAAAAATGTAATTCTTCAATGACTTTTTCTATGCTATTTAATGTAAATTAAAAATTATGATATTCATTTTATAAATAAAGATCCATTATTATATTGAATTATTAAAAAGTTAAAATAGGCAAAAAACATAAAAAACGTATAAAAAATTGTGAATTTTATTTAACAGCAAAATTAAAACATAGTAATAAAATAATAATAACAATAAATAGCAATGAAAAAAAATTAAAAAAATTTATCACAAATATATGTATAGTAAATATTAAAGAAATAAATAATAAATAGATTAATAATAAATTTTATTTAATAGCAAAATTAAAATATAGCAATAAAATAATAATAACAATAAATAGCAATGAAAAAAAGTTAAAAAATAAATAACAAATATATATATAATAAATATTAAATAATTAAATAATAAATAGATGTATAATAAATAGATAAATAATAAAAAGATAAAATAAATAAAGTTAATGCAATAAATACAATAAATGAATAAATACAATAAATCAAATTTATAAAATACATAAAATAAATGTAATACATAAAATAAACAAAAAAATAAAATTAATAAAATAAATAAAATGCATAACATAAATAAACTTAATAAAATGAATAAAATAAAGTCCAAAAACAATAAGAAAAATAATAAAACAAAAAAATATTGAAAAAATTTGAAAAAAAATATATAACAACAAATAATAAAAACAATTATGAATAAAATTATGAATTATGAATAAAATTATGAATTATGAATAAAAACAATTATAAAAAAATAAAAAAAATAGTAAGAAATAATTATAAAAAAATGAAAAAACAAATGTAAAAAAAATTTATAATAAAAAAAAATTATATCAACAAATAACAGAAACAATAATAAAAAAATAATAAAAAAATAGTTAAACAATTATTATGAAATAATGATAAAACAAATAAATAATAAAATAAAAATTATTACAACAAATAATAATAAAATCAATACTTAAAAGGTAGTGTAAAAAATAGTAAAACAAAAATTATAAAAGATTGACAAAACGAATGTAAGAAAGAAGATTTTTGAATAAAATAAAAATTATTGCATTAAATAATAATAAAAACAATAATAAAAAAGTAATAAAAAAAAGAGTACAACAATAATTATATAAGAACGATAAAACAGATGTTGAAAAAATATAAATGATTAAAAAAAAATATAAAAAAGTAATAATATAAATAAGAGAAACGTTAACAAATTCATAAAAAATATGTAAAGAGAATATATAAAAATAATATATAAAAACAGGATGTGAAAAAAATAGTGAAAAGATATATATATTATAAAAAATATACAAAAAAAAAATACATATATATATATTGGTATATATATATATTATATATATAAATTATATATATAAAAATATATATAATTACTAATATATATATATATATATATATATTAACATATAATTTACTTTATACTAATTATAATTGTACTTGATGTGGTATTTTATGCTACTATCTTTGTCACTATATCAACAGCAGTTACTTAACTGCTATAGCTATCTGGTAATTAAAACACTATTTAAATTTAATCAGTATTATAATCTCTTTAAGTTTTAAATTAAAAATGAACTTTTTTTCTAAAGTTGACTATTGTAGTCTTTAAAAATTAAAAGTGGTGGTAAGCTACTGCACCACAACAAACGATAAAATATCGATTAGTTAAAGCAAAAAATAGTTCAAGCTTTTCTTCTTATTTGACCAATACCATTGTTAAAAATATCATTGAGT